GCCCATAAGTGGGTGCCACTTTTTTCACCTCATGCCAGATCTTCATTTCGCGATCTTTGAAGACGACCAAGAGGACTACAAAGAGCTTTCCTTGTAAAGTACCTTATACCCAAAATATGTCCGCCCTAGATGCTTTCTTCGAATTCATTATCGGAAAGGACTAGAGCCATGTTTTTCACGCTTTGATTTATTTGATTTATGGACCTCGAACCATAAATTGGTCGACGCCAGTAGTTCTACCATACGCTTCCTTATCATCGTTCACCATGCAGTATGAGAATTGTGAAACCTGCTTCGCTGTGGAGACTACAGCATGAAGAATATCCTGACCCGGTAAGGCAATCGGTGTTCAGTTGGATCCTGCTGTGCTCTCCTGTTGAAGGCAACCCGCACGAGTCAGTCCCCTCTTGGAGAGTCGACGACGACTCCTCCCCCCCCCCACTTGTTATGTACTGTAGAAAAAGCCAACATTACGGGAAATAAATGTCTTCCATTATACAAAGAACTTAAGGCACTTGGCTTGAACTCAAACACAAGTAGCAGACGAGCTCCAGTAGTTTACTGATATACAACATAGCAAAACGAACTGCCTTCATTAGTTACTGAACAGGATTGGCCTATTGTTTGAATGGCGCATTGCGCAGGAAAGATAGCAAGCTTTCATGACTTGGCTTTCAGAATCACAAAAATATTTCCATTTCGATACACAAGCACATATCAAAATGGAAATATTCACAATGATTTTGAATTGCAAACGAGTGCATGGCGCATCCCCGAGCATGAGTCTACTGAAGAATCCGCATTGGCGCGCGCAATCTTCCTCTCGGCCTAGCGCAACGAGACCGAGGCGGACTACTATTTTTCAAATGAGTGTAATGCTGTTCAATACCAATATTTTTCAAAACGCTAAGCTGATTTGTAATCCACGAGACAGCTTCAGAAAATTACTGTTTGTGCAGAGTTGTCAAAGTTGGTAGGTATGGGGAAGAGAAGAATTAAGTATTTCAGTAGAAGAAGAGAAGTTTGAGTATATTAATTAGATTTTTTTAATTAGAATTATTTTTAACTAGAAATTGTTTCTTTCTATAAAATACTCAAACTTTTGTAAAGTTTCATTTCTTAAAAAAAATCGCCCCGTTGGACCGTTTTTTGTGCACAACCGGGTTTTTTGGCTTTCAATGACTATAACTTTCTTCAGATTCAACCTTTTGCAATTCTTGTCCCCTGGGAAAACTAGAAGGTTAGAGCTTTCTAACGAATACTTGAACTCATTTCAAAATTGATGGAGTCAAAAAACCGCACCGTTACACCATTTTTCTCGTAAATTATCGGAGCTACTCTCCTGAAAACACGAGTTTCTACACACGAACACTCACAGCTCTCTGAAAACTCGGTTTTGTGGAGGAGTAATGACATGGGACGGCACAAGCTCTGTGCTTCATAACAGACTGAATCCTTATCAGGAAGTCGCCGACAGGCAAATATTTTTTCCAAACTTTTCTTGTAAGCCTTTAGCAGTCAATCTACCCAAGTGGTCACTCTTTTACTAACTTAGGTCCAGTTTGAAGACATTGGTTCTCTCGAAAGCATATTTGTGTACGTGAACAGTCAAATATGGACACTTCTGCAGTAGACTCTTCTGCTCTAAGGTGCGCCATGCACTCGTTTATGATTGACCAGTTTAGCTGCGCACGCATTCGCGTGCATCACACGGGACTGCATTGGTATGAAACAGGGCCATTGATATTTTTATAGTTCACCGTGGGAAACTCCGCAAATCCTCGGTGGCGCCCACCAATAGCATTTGGCCCCATTCCTTCGCCAACCTTTATCCACTTTTCCCAGCCTCTGGGCTCTCTTTGAACCTACCTGTAATATCACGTGACAAATTCCGCCTACTTCAACGCACGCTCCACCCACCAATAGCAGTTGATCTGCCTTCCGTTGACGGACTCAATCTTTTTTTCCGGTCTCCAGGACTTCTTGGAGCCAAGTTAGAAAGTTTCGTGTAGCAGTTGGGCTCCACTCCTGCACCCACCTCTATCCACTTTTTTCTCGGTCTCCAGGGTTTCTTAGTGCCGAGTTACAAAGTTTCGTGGATGGCTTCGCCCCTTTGGCGCACACTCCACCCACAAATAGCAGTTGACCTCCCTTTCATTGATGGATTCAATCCACTTTTTCCCGGTATTCTCGGAACTAAATTATAAATTTTGGCAAACTCCGCCCACATTGATGCACACCCCACCCACCAATAGCAGTTGACCTCCCTTCCGTTGACAAACTCAATTCAATTTTTTCCCGGTCTCCAGGACTTCTTGGAACCGTGTTATGAATTTTCGTCGCAAACTCCGCCCATGCCCGCCCATCATTGACATTTAACCTCCACTCCTTCTCCGAGCTCTATCCTACTTTTTCCGGCTCTCTAAGACTTCCTTGGAACCGAATTATGAGGACTTGTAGAAAACGCTGTACACTTCAGAGACACGCTCCGCCCATTGTGGGCGGGCCTCCGCCCACGTCATGTATGCTGGGAACACCTTAGACATTGCTCCCCTACACCAATTTGTTTTCTGCTCTGTAGGCTTTCTCCCAACCGAGTTATGAAATTTTTTATAAAGCACTGCTTTTTTGGAGAACGCCCCGCCCACTGGGGGTGGGGCGTTCTCCAAAAAGGACGTACATAATACGTACGTACGGCGTAATTCGATCTGACTTATCATTGCACACCTTACCTACTTTTTCCCCAGTTTCGAGGCTGTTTTGGCATAAAATCCTGGTCTTCAGTACCACTCATTTCGACGCACGCCACGCCCACTGTGGGCGGGGCTCCGCTTAGCTGATGTGTGTTTTGTACTTCTCGAGACCTGCCCACCCATCCCACACTTGACCCGGTCTCTCCAGGCGATCCCAGGAGCTAGGGAATTTCGTGACAGACAGAGACCGTGAC